TATTTTCTTTTTATTTAAAGTAAATAATTTTAATAATATATATATATATATCTATGAGAATGTCAAAATGTCACCAATCCAATTTTTTAAATTTTATGATTAATATAAAATTAAATAATCGACTACACATATTAAATAGTTATCCTGTATGTAAATTTACAAGAGATTTTTCTAAGGTCAAAAAGGCTGTTTTTCAGATAATTTTTGAGAAAAATGCAAAATTTTTGATTTTTTTCATTTTTCACCTTACTAAAAGTTTTTTTTTGACGAAAATTTCAAAATTTTGTCACGGTTAACATCAAATCAATGTTCGTTAACATATTTATTTATGTTAATTTTGCAATCAGTATTTTTTAACTCTGGCCAAAATTATAAACCGGTTCGGCCGATCATGTTCCGATTCTAAGTAAAATTTTACTATTTCAATTAGCCAGGAGATAATTGATTTATTCCCTGCCATTTACACATTAATAAGTGTTTTATAGTATATCGTGAGTATAATATAGTATATTTTATTGTTGAATCTTATTTTTCTTTCGCTTGGTTTTTTTTTTTCATTTTAAAAGATTTTAAAAAAATAATTAAATTTTAAAAAGCTTCGGAACTATTACTATTACACTTGAAAAATAATATTGAGATTACAAATAAATTAAAAGAAAATTTTTCTCATTTTGAAAATGCAAATCTTTCCGAATTACTCAAATTTTCAATTCAGTCCATTATAGTATAATCAATAGTTAATTTTTACCGCAAAATTTCCTAGAAACGGATAAATAAATACATATAAATTTTGCTACCCAGTAGGTATAACTACATTTGCATAATCGTGTAAATGGTGGATAATTAACTTTATGTTAACGTCGATAAAAATAATTTTTTTTTATAATAAACTGTGACCCTAAACATTATAATAACTTGATAATAATATTCAGAGTTTTAATAAATACATTTTAAAGTTAATAATTTTTTTTGTTTGAAAGTTTCGCGAAAAAGAAAACCAATTTATTCAAATGAATCTGACCGTGGTACAAGATAAGGATACTCATAAAAACAAATTCAATATAGTGATAAAATTATTTGATCATTTATTATTGCATCAGAAGTTGTTGATAAATAATAGTCCAAATTTGAATAATTACAGATAAGCACAAAAATTTATAAACCGTAAAGCGTGAAAATTTTTGGACCGAATATCAATTCTGTTGAGCCGAGTGGTTTGTTTTGCCAAAGTTTATTAGTGATAATAGTATCTTGCACTTAATTAGTAAATATAAACTATATCTAATTTATATTTTATCAAATCATAATATAATAATGTATACTGTTTTTCAACATTAAACTTGAAGCGTCATTCTATTTAAAGATTATAAAAATTTAAATATTTTTTTTTTTACATTGAAGTAGCATCATATTTTCTGTCATACCTGGCTCGTTAAACTACCCGTGACATATCTGATTGGACCATGTGCAAAACAAACTTTGTAATAAATAACTTTTACAAGAAAGTGCAAATAAAGTGCTTTCAATTCATATTTTAAGAATAACGAAAGTCATTTTTTTCGAGTAATTAACAAAAGTCATTGATGAATGGCCTTTTGGTTATTGTCTAAATATATTTTATGTTTTAAACCAACCAAAAGTGGCATTAAATTTACTTAATCATTTGAGATATAATAATATACAAATTAATCCTAGATTCCTAGGGTAGGAAGATTCTTTTCCATCTCACCTGATTTTTGAAATTACGTTTAACAGTATTTTACTACTAATTTTGCTCTAAAATTTTGATATTTACAGTAAATGTTGCAAAAAAGATAGACAGCCGGTGTTCGTCCTTTGCAGAGCTGCGATCCGTTACCCGTTTACCTGGATACAATGCGGGTATACTCGGGTATTTATGAGCATCCGGGTCAGGTCATGGAATGGCAAACAGGTAATACCCGTTTTGTATCCGTTTTTATGTTAATGCATATATACTCCGGGTAATTACTCCAACCGAAAATTAAATTTTGCCAGAGTTAAGATGTTAACTCTGGCCAGAATTTTATTGTCGGCCAGAATTAAGGTTTGTATTGATTTTAATTTTTGGCCGAATGAAATGTTCATTAAATCTGCCCAAAATTATAACTTTCGGCCAGAATTAAGAGGTGTGCTGATGGTCACTACTGATGAACTTTAGTAACTCTTCTTTATTATTTAAACTTTAGAAAATAAAAAAAAAATAAAATAAGTTATAAATTTCAATAAATAACTTGATGTGTATATTTATTAGAAAAAAAATTGATTTTTATCCCGGTAATACCCGTTATGGAGTAGGGTAATATTTTTTTTGATTTTGGTATGACTATCCGGATCCGGAAATTCTAACGGGTCAGCAGCTCTACGGCTTTGCAAGATCTAACTCACTTTATCGCAAGAAAAAAAGGTCTAGGATAAGCTATATTGATTATTGTTCATTTGTAAGGTCTCGGCAAAAAATGAATGGGCTAGGAGGAATCCATGTTTCTAGTGAAGGCATATGTATGACCGTCACTAGCGATAACTTTAAGATAAGTCCCCGATAAAGTATCCTCCCTAAAATAAATAGTACCAGGGGCACTACGCAAGCTATTATTTATCAAAAACTAATATGCTATAATGCTTCAAAAGCCACTTTTGCTTGATAAATATGGATGAGATAAAGAACTCTCAAATTCCATTATCTCATTTCGGAAGTAAATTTAAAAGGCATAGATGAGATATTAATGAGACATTATTTTTCTTTAGCAAAAAAAATTGGCGTTTGTTTCTTTTTAATTGCTAATATATTAAACAGGCATTTAAACAATTTACATACTATCGAAACGCGCGTTTGCTCGAATATTAATTTATATCATGATTTCAATTTGTAACTTGTATAATTCTTTATTTAAATCTGATATGCAAACTTATTAGACGTAACTTGACGTAACTTTATTAAGTCATGTCACTCATGTGTCGTAATTAGTTAAGTCATATGTCGTAGCTTCTCTAAGTCTCATAATTCAAATAAAATCATTATCAAATATAAATTACTGATCTCCATTTTTTTATTCTAATTATTTGATTATACCTAATGCATGTTTTTGTTTAATCGTTCTTTTTTAAGTGGTGGTATGGTTTATGAATTTATATTTTCTATATTTTCAAAAGGTCGTTCAGACCTCTTAGCACTTGCTTATATTATTTCGGTCAAACCGGAATCACATCGTGAAGAGGTTCTTTGAGAGTTTGCCAATCGGGAGGTTCGACCGAAACTTAAAGCTGAATCAGTTGTGATACACGGAGTATAAATTTGAGTTATTTCGAAGATGGAGAAGTACAAAACCTTGAGTTAATCAATAATACCATTACCGGTATTATTACTTTTCCTTCTTTGTATAGATGTTACTTGCACTTTTATTCATTTATTATTTCTAACTCTCCAACTCTTATAATATTTTGTTATTCTATTATTTTGTAAAAAATAAAGAATATTTGTATTTCTAGCTTTTTTGATATGCTAATAAAACAATTTTTAACCTAGATTGAAAGTTTAGATCTCTACATTTAATATCAGTATCTGTTCATTCTTTGATCATCAGGAATATCAATGACGAACACGTGAACTGGTTTTGCTACACAAGATCCGAAGTTCATTTGGTCATGTGATATCGGGCTTGCCTACGGACAACGGTGATCCAAACTTTTAATTTCCCGCTGAAGAAATTCATTATTATGTTATCATTAAAAACTTGTTATGAAACTAAAAAATTTCGGGCATTTTCGGAGGTAATATTATAATGCTGTGCTTGCAATTTAAGCATAATTTTTGATTTTAAAATATTACTATACTATTTAAGTACGATAAGTCAACGCCAAAGTTTCTCAAGTTTCAGATAAAACATATATTGTATTACTATATTTTTCGTAAATTCTAAAAGATAACGCAATATTGCATAATTTACTCCTCGAGTGTTTGATTTCAATAAAATTTAAAAATAAGCTTTCACCATTTGGGTTATGAAGGCGTAAATTTATTATTAAAAAAGTATACGCACATGCCGTGTTACTATTTTCTATTCTATTTGTATTTCTATACTGTATACAGTTTCTATTATTTACACAGAATTAATTAAACGATCAATTAAAATAAATACTGTATTTCATACGCCTAATAAAGTTCGAATAAATATGGTTAGATCATTTAGTTACGTAAAGAGCTTATCCGGAGACGGAAACTTTTATAATTAATTATTTTTGTCATTTTCTTTATTGTCCAAGTAACACATTATCTTATGCATTATCATTATTCTTTATTTCTTTGTTCTTTATCTTTTAATTTTCCTTTTTCTGGGGTGTGGTGAATGTTGTATTTCCTTTGTGTTTAGTAAGTAGGTCAATCTTAACAAAAAAGGTTTTAATTGTTTCCCAATATAGTAATTTGCAATTTTTTATTATCTATTTAGTTATTTTATTTCTTTCATTATTGAAACTATATTGAGGAAAAAATATTTTGACAATTTTGTTTACTCTATCAAATATATTGATTAACCAAGCCACTTTCGTGGCATTTTTTGATGGGTACGCTGCGCAGGTAATTCACGGGTCCCATATTAACTCGACTATATGTACTTTGTTGATCATCATCTATTTAAACTGTGTTTTATAGCTTCATTATTTAAATATATGGCTAAATAAAGAAATATGCATACATTTGCGCATGGCTGATTTCCGTTAATAAATTTTTATAGGGGTAACCGTTATCTGTTATATCGTTGTCTTTTTTTCTTACCTTTTTTTTTTTTGAACCGATTAAATTTTAAAAGACAAAAGGGAAAAAATAATAAAAAATATTAGATCATTTTATCTATTATCATTATTATATTTTTTTTTTTTAAAAAAAAAAAAAAAAAGGTTTTGAGATCAAAAAAAATATTATCGTTATTTAAAACGATATCATACAAATATAAATTCTTAGATCTTATTATCTGAAAGTTATTATGAGAGAACGTAATACCAACGGAAGTGCAAACTTCCGCGGAGGACGCGATAGACAAAATGAAGCCGATAGGAATAATAACATGCCACCAGAGCTCAGTATTCCTGAAAGAAAGAGATTGCAACAAAGAACCACCATTGAAAATTTCAAGTCTTCTAAATTAACATATGGAGGTAGTGACCATTTAGTTTTTATTATTAGTGGAGAACGGATTACAACAGTTTGGAAAAATAAATTGAAAAAAAGTCCTTGGCATCAAAATGATGTTAGAATTTTTATTAGTTCAGCATTAGTAACAGCTGATTCTCAAATAGCCAGTGAACTAGTGTCAAAATTGAGTGATTCTGGAAATGGCCTAAAGAAATTAAAAGAAATTATAAAATTTCCTATGTCGTGTAATGCGGGACTTAAAGAAGGAGTATTATCTTTTCAATATGTTGTATTACCTTTATTGGGTTTGTTGACCAGAACAGCTATTACTAAATGTACTTTGGAGAAGCATGTCGACACTATTTATATGACTATTTATGAAAATCTCGTAAGTACTGTATTATTAACGAAATTAACTAAATATGATGACCTTTATGATTGATTCATTCCTTTTATTTATTTTTTTTTTTTTTAAAAAAAACAGGACTTATTTCTTAATAAGAATGTAATGAAAATGTTGGAAAAGTTGGTTCAACGTAATTCTATTGAGGACAACTGTATTAATGTAGATGCATTATTATTACATGAACGATATTCATTCATCCCATCTTCGTAAGTAGACGTACAGTACAACGTGTTAATATACAAAAACCTGACGCAATAATACACTAATTAATTTTCTTCAATATTTTAATAGTTTGGGAATATTCTTCTTAATAATTGTACGTTTTGTTGCAGAATTATTACGTCGTATTAAAGAAGCATCTGCTAATGAGACAATGCAAAAAATTGTTCTCAATTTACGTGAATTAACGACTAAATATCATCAAACAATTGAACAACATTGGTCATCTTTGTCTTCAACAGATCCATTAAATAATTCGGAAATCAGAAAATATTTTTTTAAGACATTAGGAAATGAAATTGATGAAATTGATGCAGTGATTGAAGAGCTTAATAATGAACGTAATATTTCGGAAACTTATGGCGCAACTAATGAATCTTCAAATGATTATGAAAAAAGACATAATAATGATTTTGATGATATTTCAAAAATATCAATTATTCCTACAGAAGAAGAAATATTATGTGATCAACATCCTTATTTACCTTCACTTTTTGACGAACGTCACTCTTTACCAAATGGAGCGGCTAAATTACTTGATAGACAATTTCGACTTTTAAGAGAAGATATGTTAAATCCAATTCGTGGTGTAATATCAAATTTTTTGTCTTTATTATCAAGAAATTATTATTTTTCTTTAAATAATAATGGTAGATTATCTAATGAGTTAATGGGTGTACTAGATAAAGGAAAATTTACGTACAATAATAGCAAGAATGATATAAATGATAATGGTGATTTACAAGTATATGCAAATATAGAATTTATTAATATTGGTTGTGATAAAAGAGGTTTGTTTTGTACTCTAAAATTTACTCCAAAACATAATTCAACAAGCTTAAGACAAAGAAGAATATATTGGCAAAATAGTAGAAAATTATTATCTGGTAACCTAGTTGCTCTTTTATTACCAAATCCAAATTTCAAACAATCACCATCGGATATTAACGGCAATATACCTATGAATGATTCAGAATTATATTCAATTTATTTCGGTGTAATTATGTCAAGAGATGAAATTACAGATGATCATATTAGAATAAATATCAATTTTGATGATCCATCAATTTATCCTATCGCATTAAATAAGGTTTCAAAATTTCGTAATTCAATCATGGTAAATGATTCAAATAATTCAACCAAAAAAAAAACTTATTTAGTGGAATCAACTAACATCTATTTTGAAGCTTATTATCATGTCCTTAAAACACTTAAAACTACTTATTCACTACCTTTAAAACGGTACTTAGCTCCAGAACTTGACCATCATCAAGCAAACGTTTGTATTGATGTTAAAGTTAAACCCCCTAAATATACTGAAGCACCAGGATTTCTATTTGATCTATCAGTTTTATGTAATGATAAGCAACAGTGTTTAACATTAAACGTTGCTAATACACATACTTACGATGACGCAGCAAAAAAAATTAATGAAAACAGTAGATTAGATGAATCTCAAGGTAACAAAAAGATTTAATTTTCTAAGAAAATTTTTATATCACGATATAAATTTTATTAATTTATTAATTTTCAATTGCAGCTAAAGCAGTGATATCTGCTTTAACGCGTGAAATTGCATTAATTGAAGGTAATGAATTTTCTTTGAAAGATTTTTTTTTTAAAACAAAAAAAGGAATTAAATTTAATGAAGAAAATTTTTTTTTCCATAATTGTTAGGACCACCTGGTACCGGTAAAACTGTAGTTGGTATTGAAATAATGAAAGTGTTATTGGCCGAAAATAATCGAGCAAATATTGGTCCTATTCTCACCATTTGTTTTACTAATCATGCTCTTGACCAGTTCTTGGAGGTAATTTATAATTTGAATCATTAAGATTCATTGTTTTTATCTGATCTAATATACTTTTTTTCATTATTAGCATTTACTTGATCAAGATATAACAAAAAATATAGTGAGATTGGGTACTCGAACAAAATCTGAAAGAATTAAAGATTTTATGCTAGGTAAAGTTAAACCTAAAAATAGTGAAATCCCTATTTTAGTGGAAGCAATGAAAGATATTGAAAAAGAAGTTGATGAAATAAAATCTTCTTTTAAATGTCGCGTAACATGGAGCGACGTATCCGATTATCTAAAAGACGGATACAGAGAATTTTATAATAAATTTAGTAATATAACTCATATTGATTTACCTGGTTGGGTCTTGGGAGATTATAACGCTGAAGAAACTGATGAAGATTCTGAAATTGATAAAGATTTTCAAGATAGTAATGATGAAGAAACTGATGATGAAGATTTTTATGATGATAGTGATGATGAGATTGAGAAATATATGGGCAAGTTTCAAATAGTTCAAAGAAAGCAGACATCTATATTTGAAAGATGGTTAAAGGGAGAAGATATGAAAAGGATCGATGAGACTATTAGAAATTGGTCAAATCATGAAGAAATAGATTCAGATGATGATGAATTTTTCGATGAATATGATGAAATACAATACGCTAAAAATTACGAAAAACCGAATACAGACCGTCCTATAGATGTGTTATTAAAGGATTATTCAATTTGGCGAATGTCAAGAGAAGAGAGACAAAAACTTCACAATTATTGGCGTGCAAAACTTGATGAAGTAAGATTATTGAATTTACAAACTGTGCATGAAGAATGTCGTCAAGAATTGAATAATATTTATGATGAAGCGCGTCGTCATATATTATTAAATAGTGATGTTATTGGTATGACAACAAGTGGTGCTGCTAAATTTCAAAATTTGATTAAATATATTGATCCTAAAATTATTATTTGTGAAGAAGCTGGTGAAGTTTTAGAAGCTCATATTCTTAGTGCATTAACTCCTTCTACTCAACATTTAATATTAATAGGAGATCACAATCAACTACGACCTCATGTTGCAACTTATTCTCTTAGTATGGAATCAGACGTAGGAGAGAATTATCAATTAGACAAATCATTATTTGAAAGACTTGTTGATGGTAATAATACAGTTAGAATTGATAAAACTAGGCTTCTAACTCAGAGACGTATGAGAGGAGACATTTCTGATTTAATCAGATACACAATTTATGATGATCTAGAAGATGGCGAAAACACTACTAATTATCCAAATATACGTGGAGTTCAGCATAATGTATATTTTATTGATCATAGATATCGAGAGGATAATTCAGCAATGCAGTCTCATGTGAATATGTTTGAAGTTGAAATGGTGGTAGAAATGGTTAAATATTTCGTGAAATATGGATATACTAAACCTGAAGATATAGCTGTACTTACCCCTTATTTAGGACAAATGAGTAAAATTAGGGAAGCTTTATCTGAATCATTTGCTGTTGATATTGATGAAAGAGACGCACAAGATATGGACGATATGGAGGAAGAGAAAATTAATACTCCAAAATCATTAAATCAACGAGTTACACTAAGAACTGTTGATAATTTTCAAGGTGAAGAAGCAAATATAGTTATAATTTCATTAGTTCGTAATTACTCTGGCAAAAAATATAGTTCTATCGGATTTCTTAAAAGCAAAAATAGAAGTAACGTATTGTTGTCACGTGCTCGTGAAGGAATGTATCTTATTGGTAATGCCGACTTAATGGCATCAAAGTCTGAATATATGTGGGCTCCTGTTGTTAATATTTTACGTGAGCGTAATCAAGTTGGTCCCGGTATGCCAATCGTATGTAAACATCATCTTGATTGCAAGAACATTATTACAACCCCCGAACAATTTGATGAAGTTTGTTCTCCAACTGGAGGATGCCGTAGTACTTGTGATATGCCACTTTCTTGCGGACATACATGTACCGAGGAATGTCATTTCAATAATCTTGACCATAATGGAGTTAAATGTCGTAAGCCTTGTGAAAAATTGCATTCAGAATGTGGACATCAATGTCGAAAACTTTGCTATAAAGATTGTGATATATGTAGTGTTCCCGTTGGGAATATTACGTTGCCTTGTGGACATACATTTCAAAACGCTGAATGTTGGCAAAATAAAATCAAAGAAGATATCAGATGTAAAACCGTTATTGATATTGTATTATCTGATTGTGGTCATCCATTACAAAATATTGAATGTTGGAGAGTTCAAAATGAAGAGAAATTTATATGTCACTTTCTAATTGATATTACATTACCTGATTGTGGACATCCATATCAAGATGTTGAATGTTGGAAAGTTCAAAATAATGAGAAATTTACATGTCATTTTCCTATTGATATTACGCTCCCTTGCGGACATATATCTAATATTGAATGTTGGAAAAGAAAGTTTAAAGATTCGTTAAAATGTTCTACTTCTACTGATATTACATTACCCGATTGTGGACATGTATTACATCCTGAATGTTGGAGAGTTCAAAATAGAGAAAAGTTTACATGTGATCATATTGTTGACATTACACTACCTTGCGGACATATATTACCAGACGTCGAGTGTCGGCAAAATAAGACCAAAGGAAAAATCAAATGTAATATTATAATTGATATTACATTACCTGGTTGTGGACATCCGTTACAAAATGTTGAATGTTGGAGAGTTCAAAATAAAGAGAAATTTAAATGTCTATCTCAAATAAACATTCTATTAGATTGTGGTCATCCATATCGAAATGTTGAATGTTGGAGAGTTCAAAGTAAAGAGATATTTACATGTCATTGCAAAATTGATATTAAATTACCTTGTGGGCATATAGTACGCGATGAATGTTGGAGAAAACACGTTAAAGAGACAATCAAATGCAAAACTCCTATTAGCGATAAAATGCCTTGTGGGCATATGTTAAAAGATATTGAATGCTGGAAAGTTCAAAATGGAGAATTTACATGCCATAATCTGGTTGATATTACACTACCTTGTGAACACACATTAAAAAATGCCGAATGTTGGCAAAACAAAACAAAAGGAACAATCAAATGTGAAACTACTATTGATACTGTATTACCTGATTGCGGTCATACGTTAAAAAATGTTGAATGTTGGAAAGTTCAAAGTAAAATGAAATTCACATGTAACTTTCCGGTTAAAAAAAAATTACCTTGCGGTCATACATTTAATATTAAATGTTGCATTAAAGATCAAACTGAAAATATACCTAAATGTAATCATCTTGTTGATATTAAATTACCTTGTGGTCATACATCAAGATCTGTTGATTGTTGGAAAATTAAAGACAACGTAGAAATCAAATGTATTACACCTATTAATTTTACATTACCTTGTGGACATATATTAGAGGATATTAGATGTTGGCAAAGTAAAATTGAAAATATACCTAAGTGTAATATCCTTGGTAATATTGAATTTCCTTGTGGACATACGGTAAAAAATGTCGAATGTTGGAAAAAAGCAACAATCAAGTGTACGGAGCAAATCGAAATAAGTGTGCCTCGTTGTGAACACATTAATGTCATCCAGGTATATTTATTTTACATAGTATTGAATATTTTATGTTTTAAATAATTTTTATCATTAATTGGGATTATTTTATATTTAGTGTTCTGAGTTAGTTAACGGTATTCAATGTAGAAACAATTGTGGAATACAATTGGAATGTGGCCATGAATGTTTAAATAAATGTATTAAATGTCAAGAAAATTCTATACCACGAAATTCCAAAATCAAAAACAAATTAATAGAGCGAATAAACCATGGAGAATGCAAGTCTAAATGTAATAGGTTATTATATTGTGGACACATGTGTGATGAGAAATGTTCCCATAAAGGTGAATGTCGGCCATGTAATAGTAAATGCGCAGTATCATGTGACCACAAAACGTGCAGTAAAGATTGTTTAGAACCTTGTGCTGTATGTGCAAAGAAATGTTCGTGGGAATGTAGGCATCGAGGAAAATGTGAATTAAGCTGTGGAATTCCTTGTGATAGATTACCTTGTAATGAAAGATGTGATAAAAAAGCGAGATGTGGTCACAATTGTGCTGGAATTTGTGGTGAAATTTGTCCTACTCATTGTGCTGACGCTAACTGTGTTCCTAAAAGAATCAGATATCAAGGTAAATTAATGTAAATTATTTGCTATTTTGTAAGATTTAATAATGATCTTTATTAATATTAATAATAATAATATCTTTAAAACAGTATCAGATATATTCAATAAAACTACGTTTAGTAAGGTAGATTGGAATAAAGAAAGGATGGTTGCACTTCCTTGTGGGCATATATATACAATGAAATCTATGGATAAGCTTATGGAAATGAAAGAATATTATGGAGGTTCAATTGAAAGAGGATGGACATTAGTTAAGTCGTTACCGACTTCAACAATCATAAAAAGGTGCCCAGCATGTCAAACATCAATTAGGAATATTAGAAGATATGGAAGAATAATTAAAAATTACACATTGGAAATACAGAACAAGAAGTTCATAACAAAATATGATGGTGAATTAATAAAAATTGACAAACGTATTATTGCATCCTTTAACGAAATGAAAAGAGGAAGAAAAAAATTAAAAAAAGACTTATGTGACATTTCTAAATTTAAAAACAGAATAGAATTTAAGGTTATAAATAAAGGATTGCCAGAAATTACACCTTATCAATATTTTGAAGGTATTGCACAATATCATGGATTTGATGAAAATAGTCAACAAGTTTGGCTTAGTCACGTTAACAAATTATTAAGAAGCTATTATAACTTAATTCCCATTATTCGCGCCGCCAAAAACACACCTCATAAAAAAGCTTTCGAAGCAAATTTGTAAGTATAGAATAAGTTATTTTTAAAGATGATTTTTTTATATTTTATTTTAATTTTACTTAATAATTTATTTATTTATTTATTTATTTATTGTTTTTTTTAGAAATACAACGGGAGGATCCAGAGATTTAACTTACAAACAACAATTAGATCATAAGGTTTATTCGATTTATGTAGATGGTGTTTTGAAAGTTATCGACATACAAAAAATCTTACATGATGAAATTTTATTCATAATTCAAGAATTATCTTTAGTAACTAAAGATGTTACAACTATTAAAGAACTTTGGAAAAAATTTGATGAAATATTAAAACAATCTATTCAAAACCATTTACGTTTAATTAAAGATGTGGCAAAATCTACTGATTATGGTAGTTATTCACTTTTAGTTAATGTAGAAATATTAGAATGTGATTTTATCATGCTTAGAAATCCATATAGTAATAATTCCATTGATAAAGCAGAAATTATAAAAAAGTGTGAAGATATTAAAAGAAATATCAAGGATATATCTGAAAATTCCAGTTACGTAAACGCCGAAGAAAAATTTAAGAAGAGTATTCTCGATAGATTAGATAAATTGTGGGATAACTGTGATAGAGTAATTTGATGTATGTGGAAAAGCATGCTGAAATTCGAAGCATTGAAGAAACAGAAATTCGTCAACAAAATATGTTTTTTAGTTCAATAGTTTAATTTTAATGTTTAGAAAAAAGATTTATATTGTGATGTGCTAAATTTAAAAGTTAAATAAAATTTAATTATAAATTTAAATCATCAAAACAGTACGTTATAAATGTTTGGTTTATACGTTATTTAAATATATACAATACTTTAACAATTTAAATATGTCTATAACTGCCTACGTGTTGCATATTTAAAAGAATTTAATTTCATTTAATCCATGCAAAATTTATTTAAACAAGAAGCATTTGTTACAGTCTTGGTCCAATTTAGGGATGGCAACGGTCACGGTCATTAACCGATTATGACCGGTCATGACCGTGACCGATATCGGTCGGTCAAGACTTCTGACCGACCGTTTTACTGACCGTTTGACCGACCGTTTGACCGACCAAATTTTTTTATGAAAAATTTAATAAAAAACGTCGCGAAAACGTTTTTTATTAATAATTTAATTAAAAAAAAATGTTTTTCGCAATCGTTTTTAATTATTTTAACAAAAAACGTTGCGAAAACGTTTTTATTAATAATATAATTAAAATAAAACGTTTTCGCAACGTTTTTTTAATTATTTTAATAGAAACGTTGCGAAAACGTTTTTTTATTAATAATTTAATAAAAAATAAACGTTTTCGCACGTTTTTTCAATTGCCTTAATAAAAACACTGCGAAAATATAAAAAAAAATGATCGGTCAAACTGTCGGTCAAACGGTCGGTCGGTCGGTCAAAGGTTCTTGACCGGTTATGACCGACCGATGACCGACCATGACCGACCGTTGCCATCCCTAGTCCAATTATTATATAACTAAAAAAATTGAAAAAATTGGGTTACCCGTATAAATAATTTGAATTGTGTAACATTAAAAAGTGTGATATTCTTACGTCCGATCTATTTCGTATTTATCATCATAATTAAGAAAATCAAACTAATACATTTCCGGTTAATTAAAAATTTTAACTAGATTTTTTTTTTTATTCTAATGGATTAATACTAACAAAAAAAAAATTAATTTTTCTTATTGATTGCGGTTATTGCCACTCTTTTTAGTTAGCTTAGTTACCACAACTAACCATTTCTATTAGATAATTTTTTTTATTTTTCAGTTTCTACCGTAAAAACCGAAACTACCTTTTTAGTCTTTTTTTTATTATCGCCGTTTTCAGAAATATGTGTAATCCAAGCCACACGATGATCACTTAAATTTTTGTAAAAAAAATTTTCCCGAATATAAAACTTTTACACTTTACTTAGACAAAACGCGATTTTTTTTTTCCATATGAACATACTGCTCTATATAAAGCTTTGACATAAGTTTTATAATATATGAAAAGTTCTTTTTCCGCGAAACTTGCTTTACGAGAATTTTTGCGATTTTTTTGCGATTTTATAGCGTTAAAACTTTACGAATATATTACAAGACAGTAAGTTGTTATAATAATACGCGATTTTTTCCTTTCCATATAAATATATTACTTTATACAAGATTTTAATATAAATTTTATGATATATAGATAGTTACTTTATCACGAAACTCACGGTACTTTGTTGAGATTCTTATAATTCTTGCTTACTGAGGTATATTGCATGATTTTTTTTTTCTGAAACATTTTTTTGAAAATTTAAAACTATTATAGACTATTCTGGTTCTTATTGTGATTTAATTTCGTTTTAAATTTTACTTATTTATCATCTTTTAAAATATTTAGCATTAACATGGTAGACTTTAAGTAATGATATAAGATGGTGTATCATTTGGTTTTGGTACGAAATCTCGAAAATCATTTGAGCGACTGATACAAGACCGACAACAAAATCTCGACAATTCAATATCTTGACAAGTCAAAATCCTGATAAGTCAAAATCCCAACAAAATTATAACACATTTAAACTAAATATTACATATTGCAAAAATTATTTTATTAGAAACACACATCACAAAATTGTCGATATAATGACTTGTCGGGATTTTGGATTGTCAAGATTTTGTTGTCGATCTTGTGTTAGTCGTGTTGAGATTTTGATCGGATACCGTATCATTTACCATCAACTTGATGGGTTTTCAGCAATAGAAACTGCTCTTAGTCTTTACATTGGCGTTTCTACTGTGTATGAGATCAGAAGAATTTATGATCATTGGGATTGTGTGTAATTCATCCATTTAAAGGTCGTCAAGGAAGAAGAAAAACTGAATCTTGTTGTTTTAAATGTATTTATTTTGATTTATTATTATTGTAAAATTACTTTATTGATTAAGATAAATATTAATAATTAAAAGTAATATGGTTCGCCCTAACTATTATTAATGTTTAATTTATTAATTGATAAATTGTTTATTGATTAAACATTTGATATTACAGATTTTAGATTCACTTGTAAAAGATAAGAAAAGTTTGTTGCATTGTTGGTTTAATAGTATTACAGTAAAGGCACTTTTGATATGTATATAACAGGTTCCTATTTAATATTATACATTTATACTAAAGGTTTCTGGTTTTTCAACTTCGCAATTACTCATTGTAATTGTTTTTTGTATGCGAAGGTGTGATAATTAATTTTTAATAGTTAGCACGTGAAATCTGGATAAATATTATTGGATAATTTTTAATTGTTACACAAAATTTCGAGTTTCGAATTTTGCACGTGAACTACTTTTACAAAATAACAAATACGCATATTTCTGAAAACGGCGATAATTTTTTTTATGATTTTTTTTAATCGGAATTTATACAAAAATTTTGGAATTTTTTTTTATTCTTTTTTTGGTTTGGTCAAGACTATTATCAGATTAGAACTATGTCCTGCGGCTTTTTAGTCAATGATATTGTTTCCGACATAAATTCGCGTAAAATTTGTTTTTGTGAGAATTTTTTTTTTCAATATTATTTCCGGACTAATAAATTTGAGTGAAAATATTTTTTGATATTAAAAAATTTTTTATTAGCGAGATACATAACAATATTAATAATTTTGTAATTAAATCTATAATAAATTTTTTGATAAATCTATATAATTAAAAAATTTGTCTCTCAGCAAATAATTTGAATTGTGTAACTTTGAAATCCCATGCCATATAACTATATATATATATATAATCCGTGACATGTCTCTACTGATCTATTCGATCTATTCGATCCGTGTACATTTTAGTTAATGAAATTTTACCATAATCAGAATATTTTTTTTTTTGATTATTAATTTTAAATTTTTCAAACAGAAAAAAATTTTTCTCCCTTTCTTCTTTTGGTTTAGTTTTTTTTTCAAACCGAAAAATTTGTTTTTTCTTATTCTTTTCCCGTTCTATAAGTTTAATTTACTTTTCCCAAACTGAAAATTTTCTTTTTTTTTATTAAATAATCCTATTATTTCGGTCTTTTAAGACCAATTTTTTTATATCATTTTTTTTCGATCATTTTTTTTAGATTTTATTGTTATTTGTTTTTTTAAAAATTTTTTTTTCACTCTTTTTGGACCGAATTATTGTCCTTTTTTTTCAGAATTTTTTTCGGTACTTACTTTTTNTTGTTTTTTTAAAAATTTTTTTTTCACTCTTTTTGGACCGAATTATTGTCCTTTTTTTTCAGAATTTTTTTCGGTACTTACTTTTTTTCAAATTCCTTTTTTTCCAGAAATTTTCCTTTTTTGAACCGATTTCTTTCTTTATCCTTTTTCTCCCCAATTTTTTTTTCTTTTTCTTTCAATTTTTCTTATTATTAAATAAAGAAATAAAATATTATATTAAATAGTTATATTTACAAATCCATATAACATGTAAGAAAATTGACTGACGTTGATAGAAAGATGATTGAAATTTTCAATTAAATTGAACGCTGGATAAATAGTTTGATTTTTAAATTCATAAAATTAAAAAAAATTGATATTTTTACAATATTTTATAATTAATTAATTGAAGAAATTGTTGATTTAATAATAAACTATTATAACCAAATCCATATCCAAAATTCTCTAAATAATCACCAGATTTTTTGAATAAAAATTTTAATTTAGTTAAATTAATAATTATCGAATAAAATGAGTATCAAAAGAATAATAATAATAAATGAAATGAACAGATTCTAATACATTTAATTGTTAAAAATATTTTTCCTAAGTTGATTATAAGTTTAAAATTGACGTAATATAAAATAATAAGAAATAATTATAAAATTTATTAAAAATATTTGTAATATTAAAATTTTTCAAAAATACTTCTAAAAAATTAATCAATTTTTATTGATAATTATTTTTTCACAATTCCTTAATTAATCCAAATTTCATTCTACACTCATTAATATATATAAATAACTGCATTATTGTAAATATAATTTATATCATTCTAGTGTTATAATTATGATTTATTATTACCATATTAAATTCCTAATTATAAACAAAAAACTACTATAACCATCTTTAATTTACTTAGTATTACATTATAAATTGTTCAATTTAAACAAACTCATTAAAGATAATGATATAAATACAAATGTATTAGCATTGTGAATTAATACATATTCCAATCATTCCATATACTAAAAATTTAATCATCTTTACTTTTTCCATCTCCACTAATTTTCCATTTAATAATGCCAATATTCTCTTTCTTTCCCCGCTATTACTGTATTATCATTATTTTGTACTCAGCTTTCGATTATATTAAAAAGTGCCCATCCTTCTCTCATTTTCTTATTTGCGAATATTTCTGTATCTTCAGGGCAAGGCATTTTATTAGTTGTAATAACAATTGCTTTAGATCTTGCACTACTTGTTGCTACATTTCACCCATTTATATTAAACACTGTTAGTTTAAAAATGTTGGAAAAAGTAAAAAAAATGGTCTGAAAAAAATGAATAATCTAATGGATAATAATAGTAATAGCAGTAATAGTAGTAATGGTGGAAGTATATAACAACATGCTTGAATTTTACT